TTAAGTTCATTAGTAAATTCTATTTTTTCAGGCTAAAGTTGCATGGGGAAAATAACAAATGCTTGCTTTGTCTTTTTCTCTGCCATCAGTGGGAATTCCTAAACCAGATTAGTACATGGTAGCCTATGCTTTTTAAAACAGAGCTATTAGGAAATGGGGAAATGTCCGTACAGTGATAAATCCTCATTTGTTTTGGCTTAGGGGAGAGGGAGAGAAAGTGGGCTGGTGAAAGCGGAGGGACTAGGAGGGGGCTTTTCAGCATGAAGTAGCAGAGCTTTGACCCTGGCATCCAGCGTGGTTTGCTGGCTCATCTCAGCCAATGGAGCCCGCAAGCTCTGGGGCAAGAGCCAGAAAATCGATGACATCTTGCGGGGGGGGGAGCCCCATAGGGCGCTGCCCCATGGGCCGCCATGCAGGCTGGGGTGCTGCTATCAAGCTGGGGTAGCTAGGGAGGGAGTCTCTCAAAGTTCAACTCAGAAAGGCTTCGGAGGGTGCACCACAAACTGCTTTGATGCTGCAGCAACCCCAGCTACCTTTCCACACTGTCCTAATTGCTTCACATACCTACTCGCTCGGCTTGAGGAGGCTGTTGAGCCTGTAATCAACTCACAGCAATGCTGAAAGGGGGGGGAGAGAAAGGCATGAAAATAAATACGAACAGCTTCGAGGCCAGCACCAGCAGCAAGAGGCTGCCCGGGGTAGCAGCAGGTGGGCAAGGTGGAAGTGGAGTGGGGCGGGTGAACCAGGTGGGGAAGGCGGCCATTCCCAAGCAGCCTCCTTCCAAGGCCTCATGCTTTCTTCCCCCTTCCCACCTCAGCAACTATGGTGGCAGTGGCAGAAACTGCCGGCTCCTACTTGCTCATTCTCTCGCTGGGCTGCCTCTTTCCCCTCCATTCTCCTAACGGAGCCTCTCAAGATAGCCAGGAAAGCAAGCAGCCTGCCCACTTAGGTGGTCTACTCCTGTCAGTCCTCCACCTTCTGCTGCTGCCACAGACAGAGGCTGGCTGGTGCCTACTTTGCTTCTCCCTGTCCTGATGCTGGCTCACTCCTCTCCCCTCCTTCTCTGTGTTTACCTCTCCAGCATGGGAAGATGCTTGGGTTGAGGCGGGACCTGGCCCTTCCTGCCTAGGCTTGGCCGCTGGGAAGGAAGTGCACTCCCAGCTAAAGTTTTTGCGCTGCTGGTTTAAGATTAATGTGCCCAGCGCACATAGCACACCTTAGAGGGGACTCTGGTCAGGCATGTTGTAATTTTAACATGTACATTATATGGAGTGTGTTATACAATCTTAAACCACTGAGGAAGGCCTCACGGGTGAAACACAGTGTATGTTTATTTTATATTATTAAAACTGTACCTGGTGTTAATTGCCTTTACAGTGTTGCCTCTATTTAATTTTGTTCGCAATATCTTTTTAACTCTTTGGTAATACTCCTTGGTTGTATTTTTCTTAGCAAGGGTATGTTCAATGTTGTCCAAAATTCCAAAATATTTGTACTTTTCTTCAAAGCTCAGTGCTTTGATGATGATGTTATTGTTTGGCATTTTGATTTCTTCTTCTTCAATGATCATTCCTTTGTCCATTGCTTACGCTGCACACTTGTCAAGGCCAAATTCCATTGCTATATTTTTGTGAATATTCAAATGGTATTTAGTAAAGATTCAATCTCTGATTATGATTTTCCATATAATTTCGAGCTATCCATATACAAGAAGTGTGACATTTTTGAGCCTGTTTGAAAGCTGGTATCCTAGGCCTGTGCTGTTGAGAATTGTTGTTTTTGTTATTCCTGAAAGTATCCAGTGGCCAGCATGGCCATGCTGTGCACCACCAGAGGTTGCCATCTTTGTGTTGGATTTTATAACTCTGCATGTGAGAGAATCTGGGAAGGAAAGGGCTGAGAGAATTCTCTCACTCAGGTACACTTTGCAGTTTTCCCCACCCTCTCATCAGTTAGAAGTTGAGCCTCTTTTGGCTGTTGCTTGCCTTTTGTTTTTTCTTATATAGGACCTGCCTTCTCTCTGTTGCCTGGGCTTGCAGCTGTAGCAAATTAACCCTTTTGAAGTTGATCTGTTTACAATAAGTTAAATGTACCTACATGAATATGTCATGTAAGATGTGCTTCTATTTTTGTAAGTAACATTTCTTTCTTTTGTTACCATTAGATCTTTTTTGTAATTTCTTTGGACAGCAGTTTCTTTTAACTAGGAAACGTGGAGGATTGTGGATACTGCGTAAGCTTCTGTGCTTTATTTAAAACATTGAACCCAATATTTTGAGCCTTTGTTCTTGCCTGCTCCTGCCTTGCTGACACTTATAGAGGCTCTGGCAATTTTCTACCTTTAATCAGATGTGTCTATCCTTAGCTTACAACCCTGTTGGCAGAGTGATTGTAGAACAAAAGTTTGCAAGCTGGGTAAAGTATAGAGAAAGCTTTATTCAGGAGCTAACATACTTTATAGTAAAAAGTAGAGATAGATTCCTAGCTACATACTTAGCAGAGAGAGAGTGAGTTGCATTCTGTTGATTTTCTGAGGAGGAGGAGGACAGGCCCATAGCTACAGTGGGGCATTTCAGGGCTAGGCCCCCTGAGTTACTGGCAAGGCCCCACAAGCGGTGGCAGGTATGGGGAAGGAACTGGGTATTCCTTTAATTTGATTAGTCAGTGTCTCCCAAGAAATTTAAATGCCCCCCGACTTAAAAAATCCTGGCTATGGGCCTGGAGGAGGACAGTGCCTATAAGAGTAGCAGTTGGGGGGGGCATGGCAGCTGTCCTTTCGGTCAGCTGCAGTTCTTATGCTCTCCTGCTACCCCCAATGGAAAAACAATGTTTACTATTCAAAAAAACAATGTAACTTTACAAAAACTTTCAATGCCAGGCAGGAAAGAGCCCGAGGGAAAAGGGGAGCTAAAAACTCGCCTCTCAAACTGCCAAGGAAGGATATTACTGATTCAGAAGAATCAGAGCGAGAGCTCTCCTTGCTAGAGGAAATAGTGGCGGCAGGAGGGAATTCAAACCAAAACTATCAGGCTCCAATTACACAGGCATTAACAAAAATAAAGGAGGAAATTAAAAGCGAGATAAAAGCTTTGTCTTCTGATGTTGGACAATTAAGAAAGGAATTTGCTCAGTTCAAGCTCGTTGTTGACCCAATAAATCAGAAAGTAGACGAACTTACCTCATCGGGGAAAGCGACGGGGAAGAAAGTGGAATCCTCACTTCAAATCGCTAGAAAAGCAGCTGCTGATTTGTCGGAGGTACAAGAGTTTGAGAAGTAGGCTAAAAATAAAATTATCCTTCAGGAGACCAGGTTAAGGGAAAGGAAAGTGAAACTACGTGGAGTTTCCTCAAACTTTTGTGCAACAGGTCATCTTAAAGAGGAACTAAACAAATGGTTTTTGCAGACGCTTCAGTCGGAGGGAGTAACAGAGACCTCTGAAGAGATAATTACCTCGGCTTTCCAAATTAACATTTCAAAGAGAGCTCCCCCAGGCGTTCTGCAAGACATTGTCATCGAATTCAAAGAGCTACACATCAGAAACAAACTTTTTAAAATAGCTCGATAAAAACAAGGTTTGCCCCTTGAAGACACGTGTGTTTTTGTATGCTGACGTCATCCCAGAGGTGCTGATTGCGAGACAAAGATTGCGTGAAACTGCAAAGACATTGAGAGAAAAGAAAATACCATATAGATGGCTAGCACTCGGCCATTTGGTGGTTAATTTAAATAACAAAACATTTATAGCACATAATGAGATAACGGATAAAAAACTTATCGAGGCTGTTACTAAATTCAAAGAAGGAGGTGTGTGAAGGGAACAATATACTCTGGTGTGGATAATTAGGCTATAGTGTAAGTAGGGGAAAACAATTGAAAGTAAGATTTATTAGTACAAGAGTAGACTTGAACTCTAAACATGTTTAAGTAAGAATAGTTATCTGTGTAAATTGTTCGATTAGAGGGTTAGAGTCTTTACTGTTATAATAGGGTATAGCAAGGAGGTGAAGAGTGGGCCCCCCAAGACCTCCAAATAAAGGGAGAGAGGAGGTTTACCTCTCACTGCAGAGTTGTTCTCTATAGCACCCATAATCGGAGGCAACCCTTTCAAAGTTTCTTTTCAGGTACAGAAGAAGATGGAGAAGAATAGTAGTAATTGAGGTAGAAATGAACTGTAGATTATGAGTTGTATTATGATTAACTATAAACTATGGGGAAGTTGGACGGGAATTATAAACGGGCATATGAAAAGAAGAGGGACTAAATGAGAGTAAAAAATTTAGGCTGTTGGAATAGTAACCTCAGATGAATTTCTCTTTATTTTGTTTGGTTATTATGATTGTTAAAAATGGAAAATGAGTATATCAATAAGATGGATAATGAATGTGTGTTCGTGGATTGATAGATATACTCAATAAAAAACTTAAGTTGGGGGGAAAAAGAGTAGCAGTTTGGAGACTGACAAAGAAAGACACTTATCAGGAAGAAAAGTGCTAACCATACTATCCTTTTTGACTAGTCTTGCTGCCCTCTGCAGGGTTCTTCTGTTCTTTTGCACCTTTTTGTACGGCAGACATTGCTTACTCTAACAGCTTATCCTTAAATTCTTATACTGAAATCGTTATTTCCAAATGAAGGGAAATAAATCCCTTGGCCAAAACAGGCACATGGCACAGCATTTTAATTTTTGTGTGGCATAGTGGTTAGAGGTGTTGAACTAGAATTTGGAGACCCAGGTTCAAATGCACACTTGCCATGAAACTCATTGGGTGATCTTGGGCCATCCCCTCTCTCCATCTAACCCATTTCACAAGGTAGTTGTGGGGTTAAAGTGGAGGAGGGAGAAAAAAATATGTCACCACAAGTTCCTTGGAGGGAGGACAAGATACTATAAAAATATCCTGAATGTTGTAAAGTATTTATAGTCTGCTACATATGCATTACTTAGGTTTACACAATTGACACTCTGATATTCATAGTAATATGCCTATTTTTTTTTAAGACAAAAGAAAAGTATGAAAAATCTCTTAAAGAGCTGGACAATGCTACACCACAGTATATGGAAAACATGGAGCTGGTTTTTGAACAATGTCAGCAGTTTGAAGAGAAACGCCTCCGTTTTTTCCGAGAAGTGCTGCTGGAAGTCCAGAAACATCTGGACTTATCTACTACTGGAAGGTAAATGTGTGAAGCGCAAGCCATTTCATACTGGAGTCTTGGTGTGAAGAAAAAGCATAATGGAAATCAGTTATGTCAGAAGCTGAGTAGCCCTGCTGAGTCCATCCAGTCATCCCTGTAGTCCAGCATCTTGTTTGCAATGCCACAGGGATGCTCACAAGCTCTTCAGCATCTGGCAGTTGGAGGCATTTTATCTCTGAACCCAGAAGGCCCCATCTGTCCACCTCCCTTTTAAATTTGTCTAAACCAGTGGACATTGTGTCAGTGAGTTCCATGAGTCAACTACCCATTGGATGAAATAGAATTTCATTTTGTCAGTATTTAACACACTGCCAGTCAAATCTTACTGCTTGATAGAGTGATAGTACTGTGGAAGTTAGAGTGGAGCTTTTCTTCATCCACTCTCTCTACATGATGCATAATTTGGTAGTCTATCCTGTCACCCGTCAGTCACCTTTTTTTCTAAACTAAAAAGACCCTTTAGCTTTGCCTCATAAGGCAGGCTTTCTAAATGCTGTGGTCATTTTAGTTGCCCCTTGCTGCATTTCCCCCAGATGTTCTGTATCCTCTTCAAGATGCAGTGTGACCAGAATGTGGCTGCATCAGGGGCTTGTATATACACATTACTATACTGCAGTTTTATTTTTCAGTCCCTTTCCTGATGAGATCCCTAGCTGGGATTTTCATTGTTTTTGCTTCACACAAAGTTGATGTTTTCCATGAGCTATCCACCACCAAAGGTGACTTTTTCCCTTTAGTGTGTCACTGTGAGTTCAGATCCTGTCAGTTTATAGTTGTACTGCAGCACACTGAGGGTTGGATCTCTTGAGGTTGTTTTGCTAACAGCAGGGCCTTCATCTAGCACCAGGAAAGCTGTGCCATTGGCAGAGTAGAATCACTGAATCCCCAGCTCTTAGGATTGTAACACATTTTTATATTGAACTTTTGATTTTTGAAAATATTAGAGAAGAAAGAAGCAAACCTTGTCTTTAATTTTGAAATATATTCATTGAGCCTGATGCATTTTGAAAGCATTCAGATTTATTCTAGGACTGTCACCCGTTTTAAACAAAGTCAGTTATGTAAACTTACTCATGCTCAAAAGCTTTCTCTTGTTGTTGTTGTTTTTTGGTGTGTGGACAGCAGTCTATGAAAGATTTCCCTCTAGAGTTAGTAGTAAGGGAGACTCATAGCATCTGCCACCCACAACTTTGTCAGTTTCTGTAATAAAGCAAGTAACATTTTAAAAAGTCTACTGCCCAATTAGATGACCAAAGGGGCTTGACTAGGTAGGTCAACTAAACATTGCTGCCTTCATTTCACAGTGGACATTAGTAAATATCTAGTGATTAAAATATAAATGCTAGCAGTGGCAGCTGTCCTCCTTTAAGAGAAATGTTGCTATGCAGGACACAGAAATTAAACTTCTGGTTCCTGCTGCATCCATCTTTCTGTTTTCATAAACAGGTTTGTTGTAGTGAAGTGTTTGATTAAAAGTGGGGGGAAATGTATTTCTAACACATGGGAAGTCAACATTTCTGTTAAGGAACAGTAAATGTTAGAATTCTAGAGAGTTTGTGTATACGCATCACAAAGGATCAGGGCAGGTAATGATATAAAAAAAATAACAAATATTTCTAAATAAAATGTCACTGAAGACGCTGTGTCCAACCCAGTGTACAAAGTGTTGATAAAACCTTCATTTCAGCAAGTGCTTTTGAAACTTGCTTATGGAAATCTGCTGACTGCTCTTTCATGGCAAGCAGTATAGTATAAAGGATGCTAATGTTGCAGTTTAACCTTCCAAGACAGAAATATAGCACCTTTTAAACCCCAATCTGTAAAATAGAACCTGACTTTATTTTATTTATTTCTTGCTGTTATGTAGAAGTCCTTTATTCTTTCCTTTGTCCCCCCTTTCTATTTTTTTTCTTCTTAAACAGCAAATGAAAATGATGGTGCCATTAGGGCAACCTACCTTAAACTGAGGTACGATAGGCTCTTACCCAAGAATTGAAGGCCAGTGGTCTAGAGGACTGTCCACCAGTTGTTTGACTTTTGCTGTCAAAGAAAGATACATCGCAGTTAAAGCAAATGTTCATCACATTCAGAGTTTGACATTCATCCAGTCCATAGGCAGTGGATCACAGGCTAAGAGCCCTTTGGCTGTCACCCTTCGGTTTGAGCCTCAGCCCCTGCACCTGTTTAAATAGGCCAGGTGCCTGTAAAAGAGGCAAGAGCTCCAGTGAGTGAGCAGATTGTGCCACCTTAAAGGGTCAGGTGGTAAAAAGCAGGTAGCACCCCAGGAGCTTCCTTCCACTCTTATATATCACTAAGCTTAAACAATAGCCCTGTATAGCTAATCCATCTGTGTGTTGACCCACTGTGCTGGTATGAACACGCTGGCCCTGCCCCCTGTGCAATAGCTGAGTTGTCTGCATGGTGCAGAGGAAGTGCCCACAAAAACTCCCCCTTCCTATGATTAGCAATGCTGCTTTCTTTCTTTCCTTCCTTCTTTTCCTTTCCTTTAATGATAGAGCTCTTTTGGCCACAGTCTTAAGCCTAAATGCTGCTTTCCAAATGTTGCTGAAAACGGGAGGAGGAGTCACTTCCTCCTCATGTTCACAGTAGGCAGATGACTTCGTGAGCAGGTGGAGGCAGTGTGCTCAGGCCCTCCTCCTTTGCACATTGAGTCAGGGCTAATCATGTTGGTGCTTGTTAGAATTACTTCAGCACCATGCTTGAGCACTGCCTTAATAAGGTTTGTTTTTAGTTAGACTAAAATGGATTGCAGAAATATTGTTAGACTCCGTTTCATCACTCTGAAGAGCTGCAATCTAATAACATAAGCAATGACTCCACTTTCATCGTTAGTGATAAAACAAGGGGTGGACCCGCGATACTCGCGGGGGGGGGAGGCAGAGGAGAAAGCAGGAGGAGGAGGTAAGTACCCCCCCATCCTGCTGGTTCCCCCCTGTCCTCCACCCCCCCTCCATCTCCCCCCATTGCCTCTCCCCCCCAGCTCCTCTTCCCCCCCAACCCGGCACTGAAGCCAGGGGCCCCCTT